GTAAATATGACAAGTGTAACAAAAATCGTATTTGAAATCGCACGCATGTTATTATATCCCTATTTCTTCACTCAGATTTATATTAAGTTTTGCACTTTGCAAAGGGAAAGAAAAGAAAATCCTTTATTTTTCTTATCTTTCTCCAAACACTTACAGCACTTATTTATGCACGCACATGTAGTATATACGCACACTTAAGCAGCACCATTTCTCGATTTAAATGGCGACGGCAACGGAAGAAAAAAGAATCAAAAAAGTACTTACGATATATATATGTATGTATGTATGTATGTATGTATGTATGTATGTATGTATATATATATGTATGTATGTATGTATGTATGTATGTATGTATGTATGTATGTATGTATGTGTGACGATTCGTGTGAAAGTCATTTTAAAAAAGTGTTATCCCATCGCGTATCACAGATATTATTGTTAATTTGCCGATTCTTTGTGGTAACACGGTACAATATGTCAATGTATCGTGTAATAAATAAATCGTCCCAACGAAATTGCAACTAACGACGTTCATACTTTTCTCACGTTCAGAAATTGCCATTCATTAGCATTTGCCGTCATCCTTGTTCTCAACGGAGAGCCTCGTAAATCGGTAATGTAAAGCGGTGTATAAGGCAAAGCTGTGGCCGAAGAAACATGACCGATACGACGACGTTATGGCGATCTATAGGTGGGCGCAGGTAGTACGATCTCCTCTCTACCTTCGATCAGACAGGCGGCAGGTACCCGTGATGAGGTTTGCACAGGTGTCACTCCGACGGGATACATTCTATAATACTTTTGAAGTTTTACGATATATTCGAACGTCGTTATTTTAATTGCTTCACAGTATTTCCCTTTTGATATTTTAAACGGTCATTGACTCGATCCACATCCCGGTTTATACTTAAAAACTTTAATATTATCGAAAAGAAGGTTTGACGTTTTCTTTCTATATCGCGTGACACGAATCGCGATCGATTGAAAGTATAATAATGAAATTATAGTTCCCTCTTCGTTTGTGGTTTTTCCCTTTCTCTCTTTCTTTCTTTTTTCTCTCTCTTTCTTTTTATTTAAAATTTTCATTCTTTCCCCTTTCTTTCATTTCTTTTCTCTTTTCGTTTCGATATTAATGTTTTTTTATTGCGATCGTATGAAATCGTAAAACAACGGAGAACGATTTTCAATAAAAAAAAAAAAAAAAAAGAAAAAAAAAATACTTGCTCGTATAAATAGAAATTCGATCGATTTTTTTTTCTTTTTTTTTTTTTTTTTTTTTTTTCAAAATAAATAATAAATAGATTTTGAGAGTTAAGCGATACAATTAACGGCGTACACTTATATCCAATCAATTAATGAACAAATTGAATTAATATTTCATATCGTCAGTGTTTGCCGTAATTATTTGTCGCGTAAATCCAAGTTAACGTAGCTCCCTTTCCTGTTCGTTCGAATATAATACGAATAAGTTCTAATAAACAATTATAACGATGAAAATTTGAAACATCTAGGATGAAAGATACGAGGAGCATTTTAATTCATATCGATTTCTCTCCCTTTCTCTCACACTCCTATATACTCCTGTCCATCGTTCGTTGTTATACGTAGAGGGACGGAGGCAAAGAGGATCGTCGATAATTATGAGATCCATTATAAAGGTAGTTCGACCTATTTTCAGATAACATAATGCTTTATGGTAATGAGCGAGTCCCGCCGAGTCCAACATACAAAATTGCGGTCATTTAAATAAAACTTTTTATTGGGCTCTCACGGACGGACGTTAATATAGCGGCGCAATCAAGCGGCGAGGATAACGAAACAAACCCGACGAGATCGACTCTGAGCTCAAGCTCGCGGTGTCGCTCGGTTTCGATCGTCATCTCGATCCTCGTCGTCTCGATCCCAACGTTTCGAAGTAAAGACACGAAACGGTGTCGTAAAAGCGATAACCGAGCGACTTTTCTCGATCTGCTTTGCCTGTCCGTAAAATGTGCAATCAACCTCGATTTCACAGCGAACGATCGTCTTTGAGACTGAACAGAGAAGATGACAAGAGAGAGAGAGAAAGAGAGAGAGAGAGAGAGAGAGAGAGATAGAGAGGGCGAGAGGAAGAGGGTGAGAAGAAGTCGTCCTTAAAAGCTCTCCGATCGTTTCGTACGTCGTACGGACGTATAATTCTCGATGATAACCTAATTTAATTGCTTTTACAATAAGCTTTATTTAACTTTTTTCTTCCTCTTTTTGTCTTTCTTTTTTTTTTTTTTTTTTTTTTCTATTTCTTTTTTTTCTTTAAGATCGAAATCGTAAATATCTCTCCAGTCGTCATCAAGTAAGGAAGTAAATTAATTGTTAAGTTTTCACGCATAAATAGATATATTTTGTTCTATTTAAGATCTTTTTCAACTGTTTAAATTATTATTTTCGATCGTAAAGTTTAAAATGTCCAGAATGAAGACGGGGTTAAGAATAAATCTCGAACTCTTCATTTTGAAATAGCACGTACAAAGATATTTCGTATATGTGTCTCTTGGTGCGGACGTTCCTCGCTCGCGAAAATGTGGTGGCAATAATTTTGGGATACCTGAAAGTATCAGTCGAACTTGTTACGCGTCAGACAAACGTGATGCATCGATTCAAGTAAGGGTAATAAATTTGCTTCGGCGCGTGTCATCGGATCTGTCGCGATAAAAGTTACAAGAACGTGCGAGCAGGCGTATTCGAAAAGATTATATATATGTGTATGTGTATATGTGTATGTCTGTTTGTGTGTGTGTGTGTTCCGGTTCCACCTATTTTTTTTTTCTTTTTTTTTTTTTTTGGAAGAGATAGTTACGTACGTGATAATTCTGCATTCGTCGTTTCCGTTTCTTCACTGATCTTGAACGATGCAGGTGTAACAACCGGTTGTTATCTTGTATATAACCTACCTAGGTACATACGCTGAGAATAGAGTTGGGTATGAGTATTGTACAGGAACGTCGTCTATGGCACGCTCGTGAAAATTAGAGTCATTCTTCGTGATTTATCGTCACACGCTCTCATAGCTCGTACCTTTTTATGAGGAAAAAGAGAAGAGAAAAAAAAGCCGCCTCGTCTAGTTACGAGAGATCTCTCTTTCTCTCTCTCTTTCTCTCTCTCTCTCTCTTTCTCTCTTTATCCTGCTAATTTTCAAGTTCCCTCCCAATTTGAAATCAACTTGGAAATTACGAGATTTAATGTATTAAATGATCGTCTAAAGGAGTATCCGAGGGATTCGTTTATCGATGTGTATAATATAATACGTAGGGTTCTTGGAAAATCATAGAAAGGAAAGATCGAGAAAAGGGATGCGACGACGATGACGTTAGTAATGGTGGGGAGTGATGGTCGAGAGTAAATGCGCGAGGGCCGCGTGTGCCCGACAAACAGGGTCGTCAAGAGGTGACTTTGACTCTCCACTGCTCCAGCTGCTCTCGTCCCCCGTATTAGTAATCGTCGTCTCGCTCGGTGATAACCCATGGATGACGTGACAAGTGAAAACCTGTATCCGCGGATATACATACATATATATACATATATATATATATATATGTATATGTATATATATATATATATATATATATATATATATATGTATACATACATATATATACACACATATATAGATAACCACTTTTTCCTTGTATTTTTCTATGTGTGCACTTTGCGCTAGATAGGTAGTAGACACACATATATATATATATATATATGTATATATATATACTCATGCGCAACGAGAGCTATCGGTGCACGTCTAAATGAACCGTTATACCTTCTGCTTTGATTTCAAAGAGAGAAAGAGAGAGGATCCCTAACAGCCGAGGAATATTCATTTAAATATCTGTCAATACTCGAATCCAACGAGGGCTGTCGTCGGGGCCGGGGGCGGACTTACGTGCCCTCCGTTGCTCACCACCGGTCCTCCGGTACTCCAGAGAGAGAAGCGGAGGTCCCGTCGGTTCTCCATCGTCGTCGTCGTCGTCGTCGTACTAGCCTTTTCTCTCATTCTTTTTCTCTCTCTATCTCTCTTTCTCTCTCTCTCTCTCTCTCTCCCTCCAGCATTCTCTCTTCACCAGTGCGATACTCCTATACCGCACAACCACGCTTACGGACGTCTGATCTCTGTCGTACAGGTATTTTCGATTCACCTTTGTACTCGTCCCGTCATCTCCGTACGTATTACCTCTCTTTTCCTCGATTCTCGATGCTTTCTCTTTCTCTTTCTCTCGTCTCACTGTCCGGCGCAGCTTACGTAGCTTATCCTTTTTATTACAGATATACATATATACATTCATATACACACACACACACATACACATACACGTATATACGTATGTACGTACATACCTATCCACATACTATATGTAGTAGATACGTATCCGAGTACTATCGACCCTTCCTTTAACCTCCTCCTCCGCCCTATCTACCATCGAGATTTCATTTATTACACGCGACCTATCGAATATGCGTTAACCGTAAATTCGTAACATTCGTAACGGACAGACCGCCGATGCATTTAGATACATACTAAAATCGAAGATGCCTTTACGTGAATAGAATTGGATAAAGGAACGTAGCTTTGTCTATTAATAATAGATAGATACATGTACTCGTCACGATAGGATTAAAAAAGGAAATTAATCTGACTGGCTGAGGATGAGCGAATGGTGGTTGGTTGGAAATGAGAGGACGATTTTGTGTAAAGGGTGGAATGAAATGGGAAAAGGGGGGTTGACGGTGGGCTAGAGATAGGGACAGGGGAAGGAGAGGAAGAAGGAAGGAAGGAGCACTTTGCGTGCGTCATTTAAGAGAAGCTTAATGCCGCCGTAAAACGCGGCTAACGGCCGACTCTCGTCAGACTCTTCACGAGCCGGAGGGTGTTCTTACGCCCTCCTTCTCCCTCCCCCCCCCCACTCCAAGGTCTTGCCTTGCCCTGCCACCACACAGTGGTTCTATCTACCTCTTTAGTTCCATGAAGCGTT